TGACATGCGTGTTCTAAAAAATAAAAGCAGTTTTTAAGATAAAATAAAATTGAATAAAATAAAATAAGATAAAATACAATAAAAGTAAAAATTAAAAAATAATAATAATTTTTACTATTTGTTTGGCTTTTTCTTCTGTTCTACATTTTATTTTAAAAGATACTTTACCAGGTAACTCTTGGATGTTTATTTGTGCTGAAAATACATAAATTAATATTTATCTTATGGCCTGTTGAATGAAAATAGGTAGAGTCTTACTGGATTCCTGTTCTGCTGAAGAAGAGACTCCATCTCTGGTTCAGGAAGGAGGCGCTGCTGTCATCACAGGAGACCTGAGGAGGAGGAGATTCCATCACATCCTTGTGTCTCAGTTCTATGATTTTCTGAAATTTACTACAAAAATATTCAATTCATGGTCCAGAACCTGTTTTACTTGAACACTAATTTATTTTCTTTAAGTGTCTTTCGATTTAATACCTTTAATTTTGTGGGTTGCGACTTAATTTCACCTGGTTTTATATCAGAATCAGGTTTATTGCCAAGAAGGTTTTCAAGGAATTAGTCTTGTCGTTTGGTGCTTAACAATAAAGAAAATAAAGTGTTAAAAGCAAAGTAATGTAACAGTCAAGAAACAAAGAAAGAATTGAAAAACTGATGATAACAATTTTAAATAGAAAATATGTACAACATATCTGTTCTTTTAACGAAGAGCTGAACAGTTTTGCGCAGGACTGTGCAAAAGTTCACAGTATAAAGTATAGAGTATATGTGTAATGTGCAGTGATGATAATAATCCAAAAGATGTGTGTTAATGTAACACACTGTGACAGATGAGGAGACTTTAATATATATTGTCTTTTATCTCATGTTTTCCCCTTTACTTCTTTTTGTAGCTTCTATTTTGAAAAGTAAAGGAAATTAAAAATAAAGTTTTCTTGCTGAGAGCCTCTTTAAAAAGCAGTTAAATAAATTAAATGTTAAATAAAGTATGGAGTATGGAGTTAAATATGAGAGTTAAAGTTCATGCTTGACCTCGGACACAGATGGAAAAAAAATCTACCTGACTAAAGGTCCACTTACTTGCTTCTTTCAGTGCTTTTAACAGCAGCTCAGTCTTCTTCAGTGGACGAAGACCATCGCATGAGTTTAATTTTTGTTTCTTTTTACCTCCAGGTCGTCCTGTGCTCCCGTCACCGTGTACACGTTCAGCTTCAGCTCCCCCACCGCTATTCGATGTTCCTGGATGATGATGTCATCGGCCAGCTGCAGCTGCCTGATACACTGTGATGTCATCAACTCCAGACCCGACAGTAAACAACCAGACGGGACCTCCAGAGGACCCTGATGGAGAGGTCAAAGGTCACAACTACGGTGAGATAAAACCAGTAGTGGAGGTGGAGATCCTTTACTGCAGTAAAAGTGGGAATACCACAGTGTAAAAATACTACAAGAAAAGTGCTGCACTGAAAATGTTCCCTCAGTAAAAGTATGTAAATATAATCAAGCTTCCTCCTGCGTGGTGATACGTTTGGTGGGTGTAGTTGGGAGGAAAGAAAATAAAATCTAATTCCATTATATTAGAGAGAAGGCAGTTGATATCTCCAACACTGGGCAACTCACACCAAAACTATTTAGACTGAATAACAGCACTACAGGTAAGACAAAAAATATGTAGTTTTGATTTTGGGGTGAACTGTCCCTTTAAAGCTGCATTTGAACAGCAGCAAACTCTCCTGACCTGCAGGTGACAGTGTTGCACCACCACTCCAGTCGCCACAGTAACGTCTCCCTCCAGGACGCTGTTGATCACTCGCCCTCCTTCATCCACCTGGCTCTGTTTCTGAAACAGGAAACAGGAAGTCAGGTAAGAATGGACTGGGGATGTCGTAACGTGATGATGCACACTGAAGAACAGGAAGTGTCTCACCTGGATGTGAGACAGAGTGTTTTTGTCCGTCCAATCACGGCTCAGTCGCTCCACGTGATGCTTCCCAGACAGGGTCAGGTAGTCATAGCGACCGCCGGGGACGTAAACTGTCAGAGTGAGAGCAGAGATGAGGGTCTCATCAGGGAATAAAACAAATAAAGGTTCATTTTAACCTGCAGGATTTATGACATCACAACTAGAGTAGCCAATCAGGGTCCAGTGTGAAATTAAAAGCCTCCAAGTAACAAACACTGAGACTTTACAGTGAGGAACATCTGAGATCCTCTGCTGGAGTAAAACTAGTGATACCACAGTGTAGAAATTCACATTCCTCCACTGCATAAAGGGACAGGTGGAGACACCCACCCAGACTGAGTGGAGCTCCTCTCAGGATCCTCCACAGCTCTGTCCTGCCGCTTCTCACCATCGCTCCCTGTGGTCCAACAACTGAACTGCAGCCTGCTCTCTCTCCGCTCACAAACTGATCCTGAGTCAGATCTGAGCAGAGACACTTCAACATGTCCAGGAACAGAGAAACCTGGGGAACGATGAAGAGGAAAATGAAAGGATGAGAGAGGAAGACTGTTTCAGATCAGCTGTCCAACAGGAAATTAATTAATGACCGCACTGATACATCAGTATAATCTCAATATGTATTTAAGACACACAACATGTAAATTAAAAAACAAACAAACACAAGAATCAAAACAGGAATCTACTGTCCCTTTTTTCTACATGATCAGTTAACAGACAGACAGATACCTGGAGGGGCGGAGCTCCAGAGTCCAGGCCCAGGTAGGTGCAGCCGTCCAGAGGAGGAGTGACGTGAGTCTGCAGCAGCTTCTCTGATACAGACCTGCTGAAGAAGACTGGACCCGACACCTGCGCACACACACATTATTATTATGTCTGCAACCAGATCAAGCTGAGATTAAACATGATCAAATATGACTTCTGCAGGAATTTCAATCAAGTTTTGGTATTATCAGACTAGATTTTTGTTTCGCAGGTTATCATTTGCAGATTATCCCGTAATCTCGAGAAAATAAAAGTCATTTTCCTCGTGATAATTTCCCCAAATGCCTCCCCAAAAAACAATTTCACCCCCCTGCGACCCCCAACAGGATAAGCAGTTACGGAAAATGAATGACTGAACACTTATTTAATGTTGACTTAAAAGTCATTCCATAGATTTGGGGTGGACTGATAATAAAATAGATAAAATAAATCTGTATTTAAAATAAAGCAGCTACAGCAGATGTCCTCAGTACCTGCTATCTTTATTGGTTGTAGCGGGAAGCAGGACTCACCAGTGGCACTTTCCCATCAGGCATCACAGCCTGTTGAATCTGCTCCTTTGTTCCCTTATAGATGATGTCTCTGACCCGACCCTGGGGGACAAAACAAACGCACCTTCAGTCTGGTGTCATTCAGTGACAGTGAATAGCACAGAAAAGTGATTAAACATAATTCAAAATGTTTCACTCTGGAGTAAAAACTGTAAATAAAATAAAGGATAAAAAGAAGTGAGTTTAAGTAAAGTGAGTACCTGTTGGTCGGACAGGTAGACGCCGTGATTGGCTGCGTAGGAGACGTCGCCTGGCAACGCCAAAACCCGAACACCAGAGAAACCCTCCCAGGACAAAACTACACAGACAGCAGACAGTTCTGACATGTATCTCTGATATAACTGTCACTGAGGTTAATCATTAATGTAGTGTGAAATTATTAGTGCTACTGTTTAATATAGGCTGAGAGCCAATTTATATCCATGAATGATACAGATTAGCAGTATGTTTGATTTAATTTAATTCATAAAAGATATCTGCCAGACAATCAGAAAATATGTATTTTCAATGCCATGGTAAAACTGCAGCAATGATCAGTTGTAACACTCCAACTTCGGTAAGTTATATTTTAACAAGCTCACCAAAGTCCTGAGGGATGCTGAGGATCATGTCTGTGCTGCAGACCCAAACACCAGGAGGGGAACCAGGACAGATTTGGGTACTGAGGCAGTCCAGCAGTAGGTCCAGGCAACACAGCGGAGCCTGGACTCTCTGGTTGTGTTTCTCTGAAGGCAGCCAGCAGAACGCTCTGCTGCAGGAGCTCCAGGGGAAGTCATGACCCTGCAGCAGGAAAACAAAACATGAGCACAGACTGAAGAGGACAAAACAACATCTGGAGAAGTAAAGGTGGTGCTGCTGGACTCACTGTGTGGAGGATGAGGATGTGAGCATCATCCAGGACGTCAGCTGTCACCACCTGAGGAAGAGCGCGACAGGGAATAGTTAAAACATTTGATCCTTCTCTTTGTTGGACATCACAGTGAACTCAATATCTTTAAGTAATCATGTGTTGCAGCGTGATCAGTCAGAGCTGTGTGAACTCACAGTGTATCCTGCTCTGTTGCTCAGGTGTTCAGCAGCGACCAGCAGAGCGTTCAGCGTTGCCCCTCCGCTGCCCAGCGGCTCCTGGCGGTCCCGCACGGTCAAAACCAACGCACCCTGAGAGATGGAGCCACGCTGCTGCCGCAACTCCAGCTCTGAAAAACACACACAAACTGTCTGTTTAAATTGTATGTAACATTTCTGTAATGCTCTTCTAAGGTCGTTATAATCTTCTAAAGGTAGTTCAGGAATGTTGCAGCCAAAACAGATTTTAAAATAGGAAAAACATAATCTGAATGTTCCAGCAGCTATAATCAACTGTTGGGTAAATATACTGTAAACATAAGACGACACATTAAAGGTCCAGCGTGTAGGATTCAGAGGTGTCTAGCGGCGACGTTGCAGGTTGCAACCAACTGAAACTTTTACCATATGACAAGCATGTAGGAAAACTACGGAGGCTGATGTGAAAATGCAAAAACTCAGTTGGCCCTGTCTAAAGCCACCAAAGTGCACCTGAGCAAGGCACCTAACCTCCAACCGCACAGCCCACCTGTCCAAGGCAGCGCACTATATTTTCTTCTTCTATCCTCCTCTAATCCAGTGACAGTTGTCTATACATTCATAGGTACACTGCAAACAGGAGTTGCTCACAGATCATTAAGTTCACTTTGAATGGAGACTGTTATGACTGAGTGTAGAGTAATATAGGCTAAAAAAACTGTACCTTCTTGAAGCTGTAATTCAAAACAAGTCTACCTTGAAACAGTCAAGTCCATGTGAACAATGGAACAGGTTTTTCTAGCTGCCATCGCTCCTCTCGTTAAAATACAGTTGTTTTCACAAGCACAGTACTCTGCAGTACTCCTGGTTATAAACTGTAAAACTGACGGAGTGTCCCTTTAAATGTTTATAAAGTTCACTAATCTGTTGCATGTATTGTTGTGTCAAAAACCATCCAGCCACAAACCAAAGTGAAATCCATTGTAGTTCATTTTAACCAGCAGTGTTTGACATGTTTGATATTTATCCAGCAGCAATGGAAGAAGTACTCAGATCTTTTATTGAAGGCAAGTTTTGATCCACGACTTTTACTTGTAACAGAGTATTTCTACCCCGGGGTATTTCTACTTCAGTAAAAGTACAAAGGCATCTGCATCAAATTACACTGAAAGCTCCAAAAGTAAAAAATACTTCTGATAAAGAATGGCCCGTCTTATAACAATATACATTACATTATTAAATTCTAATTATTGACGCATTCATGTGTTCATCACTTTAATATTGCAGGTGATAAATGAGACGCTCATTTTAATTACTTTACATACTGCTGAGTAGATTAATCTATAATAATACATCTAATACATCATCATTTGTCAACAGACTGTTAAGAATTGGTTATATTTGGTATTAATCTGTAAAAAAAAAT